CGCATTCCACTCAATTTTTCACCCAGCTGCACATCGACTTCGGATGCAAATACAATTACCATTACCGCATTTCTGCGCTCAGCAGAACAAACTCTAAAACACATTAAAACCAATTAAATTGCAAATTAAGTTGCATCAATTCAATAACAGCTTCTCGGCTGCTCGTACCGCAAACAATGCAACACACAGTAATGCACAAACAAAAGATAACTTAATATCAAATTAAGAGCACTTTAAATGGCAAGTAAAAGTAATAAACATATTATGTAAACATTTTCAATCATTACCCATAATATTATTACTAAATACTTGTTTTCTTCTCGTGGAATTAAATTAAATTGTTCCATGTATGCTGCTGCAAATGAATTGACTTATAATCGATTTCTTCTTGTTTGGCTGAGCGCTTATGTTGTAATGGCTTTCAGGCAATGCTCACCACACATTCCGAGAGCGAATTGTCGCACATTCCCAGAATGATTCGTTAATCACCCGGCGACCCACGCAGAGTCCGATAAAACATTTGTTTCACCGTTTACTTTCGTCGTATAAGCGCATCTTTGCAAGGATGGAGTAAGCGAGGGATAAAAAGGAAAAGAAAAAATAACTAATGGCTTATCATTATACCCACACTGTGCGGGACCATTCCACAGATAAGAAGGAAATTGATTTTAATTAATTTACCTTCGCTTTTCGATTACAGCTTCGAGGATAACATTTTTCAGTAATACTCCGATCAATTTAATCTCAAGCGGTAATTAAAATTAAATAATTACTCTACTTAATAACTCAATTATAAAATCAATAGAAAAAAATATTTTATGAGAATTGAGGCATTTTAATGCACAAAATAAATAACATTTAGCTTTAGCATTTTCTGGATGCATTTTGTGTATTTTGTGTATTTACCATAACCGAGAGCTCAAATATTCCATCGTTACATGACTACAGCTTATTATAATCGTCATGTTGCAAAATCGGTGAATCATGTAAACACGCATTGGTAGTCCAACATGCGAAATACTATTATCCCGTTCCTGATAAAACATGATGTTGATGTGTTGAATAAAACACCACCGAGCACGCGAGCGTCAAATTAAAACACGTTCAACTAGGTTCCTTTGGTGAATAAATTAATAAATGTAATTTATCATACGAAACAAAAACTTCATATACAAAACGCTTTAAATTGCTCTTTATTTTCTGCTTAGAGTTTCTAGTATGATGGTTTTTGTCGGAAAGTTTTCTAAAAATCGCAGGAAACTTTTCTGTTTCGCCTATCTTATGAATGCAACTTCTAAAATTGAAGGTAAATATGTTTTCTCTTGCAATACTTGGAACTATGCTGAAATTGTGTAGTGTACTCATTGAATATTTAGCGATTTTTTATGAAATTTGTTTTTTTTTTATCTTTTGATACAAAAAGAGCAACCTATTGGTTATATTCAATTCTGAACGAATATTTTATTTTGTTTGTATCGCTATATATAGATTTGATAAATCTGATGGAAAAATGGATTAATCATTTCAACACTTTATTGCGTGGTGTTTAATTAAACACGACCATACACGCTACGGTCTAGTTTAAATTCATTTAATAAGTTCCTCTGGTGAATAAATTAATTAGTGTAATTTGCCATCCAAAATGTTTAAATGTTAAAGAACACAGACATACGAGTATTCATATTTCACATATTTATAACATACAAGTATTGTATTTTATTTTAAATGTTTCAAATTCTCACAATGATTGTTTCTTTAATAAAGTTTTCAAAGGAATTCAAATAACTTTTATTTCACCTAAAGAATGAGTGAAAGATAAACGTACAAGTATACAACTTATAAAAGAATAAATTTCATTCTTTCTGTCTTTCACAACCTGAAGTTCCGAAGGGACTCAACTCAGCGAATATTGCGCAATGTATTTTACGAATATTTGACTACGGTTGCCCTCCTGGGCATTGCATTCTGGAAGTTATGTGCACTGCGATGACAATGCACAAAACGCACGTTTGCCTTTTCATCGGTGCTTGAATATGCGGTTGAAAGTGGAACTTTTGAGAGATATTTCTTTGGTAGTCGCACGTCGTTGCAGTATTTTAGAGTTTGTTGTGTCTCAATGCACTCGGCCTCTTCACATAACTCTCTTGCTAGATAGAAAGATTACGACAAAAGTAAATTTCACCACCAAGCAGAATTGCGATTTTTGAGGGTATTTTGTGGCTGTTTTATCCAAAATTCTTGATTTTTATTTGAATTAATATGAAAATTATCTTAAAATTTAAACAATTTGCAATACATTCAATCAATCACATCATCATCTTTATATAATCCATGATATGCAATTGTTTGTAAAATTTATTTGAAATAGCTTAAAATGCCCTTTAAAAATACATTTTTTTTACAGAAACTTGAAAATATGGTGTGGGAAACACCCTATATCTCATAATAAAATTTGCCCCCTTAACACTACGCAATACAAAATTACATTCATTAATTTTCTGAGCAATGTTGTTTATTATTAAAAATTTGGTGGAGGCGCCTGACATTTTAATTAGTATTTGTAACATTTATTTAAAACCAATAATATCATTGTGTAAAGGAGCTTTTAATTACCATATTTAAATAACTTTTCACTTATTGGCATCCAGGGCTTTACCGAGAGACACCTTTCAGTGAAATGTGTACTCGCAACGTTACTTAAGATTCAATTATCTCAGGAACTAATAGAGATAAACAAAAACAGAAAACTTTATGGTGCCCAGCATCAAATTCTAGGTAAGATAATATTATGTAATTTTAAAATTTAAAACGTGTTTGAATAATTTTCCGACACGATTTTCCCAAAAGTAATAAAGTTAGAAAAGATTTTTCTTCATTTTTCATGTCCTGGTAATGATTTACAAAATGGCAGATTTGATTTTACAATTTTCCGAGATCAATCTACAACCATGAAAAATCAGTCAAGAGGTTACACTTGACTTATTTTTGGACCAAAATTATTTTTAACTTAGAGAAAATTGAAAAACGCTAATCGATAGAGAATAGCAATGCGATGAACAATCTCTATTTAGTTTTTTGTTAACACAGTAATTTCGGAAAATTCCAGTGAAAATCAAAACGAACCAAATTGAACCACAATTCCTATTTTTACGAAAGTTTCCAAACTCATGTAAAATAATGCCAGGAATTCATTAATTCAGTTTTTGTTCCGGTATCTTAATTAGTTTTAAATTTATTGACCATTTTCATTTATTTCGTAAGTGCAGTAAATTGAACATTTTCAAGTGTTGTATAATGTAAAATTATGTCCTACATACAAATCTGAAAACCATTTTTCTTTATTCTTATTCTCCTCTGCCATTTCTTAAACAATAAATAAATAATTAAAACTTTAACTTTTTATTTCAGAATCTTGAAGAAAACGTAATTCTGAGGTATTTATCTTAAGGTTATTTGGATTGTAATCATTTTATAGGCTGTAATCACATTTTATACTTCTAAACTAGCTTCATTATTAATATACGAATAAAAATTTATAATTTGCACTTTTTACTGCCTAAAACCCAATAAAATGGGAGTTTGAATACTTTATCTTAGTAGCATTTTGTTATCAGACAAACAATTTAGATAGTAATGACCCAATTATATTAGATGATATTGCAATTAGGCCATTTTGAATGGTTTGAAATTATAAGTTACCCAATTCTGTAGGGAATCCTATAAAAAAGAAAAGTCTGAAATATTTTATTGCCTAGATATTTTGGTGCCGAGATATTTACATTATTCACTTTTATTTCATTCATTTTGACACGAAAAATATTTAATAGTTATTAGTTAGTAAGTTAATAGTTTGGTTCTGTCTTTCAGCGGATATTTATTTTATGAAAAAAGATTGACCCTGTCTTTCAGCTGAACTTTCAACTACGAGTAATTCTATAAAAAGTTTCTTCCTGCCTTGGGGCCAAATTAAAATTTAAGCGGTAAGTTGTTTCCTTGATGGATATTTTAAACCACTTACTAGAAGTTCCGAGAAAAAGTCGCGCAAACTATAACAATTTCAATATTTATTTTATAATAATTGCAATACTTTGTTTGTTTATAATAATGGTAACTTGTAACACAGCAACTCCATTGTCTTACGTTACGCGTACGTAACTTTGCGTACACAAACTACTAACATATATTTGATATACTTAAGAGATAAAAACAAACTAATGGCTATTTGAGATCCTTTGAAACCCTCTGAGAAACAGCACAGGACAAAAAGCTGCATACATTATAATTTGATGCGCAATGCTCACTGCATTCAGTAACGTTCATCTTTTTCTCCTTAAGGTTGTTTTCTTCTATATTTTCTTCTTCCATCGTCGTAATGTCTTCTTTTCCGTCCAACTCTCATCATCTTCCCTTTTAGTTCCAGCTCTGATTGATGAAATCTCTCCTGTCCTTCTTGCAATAAAGAAAGAAGCGATGTTTTTCGTGAAAAAAATAAAAAGAAAGAATTTTTTATCAAGTTAATATTAAAATAACCAGCGCATTTTCACCGCGTGACCGAATGATACAAACAAAATCCTGTTTGTCTTCGTTATCTTGAGCTCGCCGAATTTTTTCATTTGTTTGCGACGTGACACAATTGCTAAACGCGATTGCAGCGTGAAATTCAAATTAGGATGTACACAAACTAAAACCAACATGATTAAACGTCAGTAGTTTAATTACTTCACAAATTGCATTCGCAGTAAAACACATTTAAATATGTTGAGTTAGGATGAAATTCCGCGTGGAAAACAGTTCAAAACGTTGCGGTAAAAATGAATATTATATTTGTCACACGCCACAGCAATCGAATGAGTCCGTACGCGTGTTAATTAACATTCATTGAATTTTAGTGGAAATTAAACGAAAAAATGCGCGATGTTGAATCAATTAAATTTGATTACGACGCCAAAAACAATTTTATAGGATATTTTTGGTTGTGGACAATAAAATGCTGCACGGAATAAATTTGACAAAAGCTCTTTATAAAGTCATAAAAGTTGTTGGCATATATAATTTGGTATTTCATTGAAATCGTACAATATGCTATGAATGTTAACATGTAAGGTGACACATGAGAACTCGGTGTGAATATGAGAGCACTCTTTCGATTTGTAATTGTTGTATTTGGTTTATCTATATTCTGTAATTCATTTCAAAGCTGTAAATGCACGCAACATGCCGCTACAAATCTATATTGAGTTGTTACGCTTCCGCCTTCAATCATCTACTCGACTACCCGATTACGATAACATGAATATATCGTAAGTACTGTGAATGTAAATGTAGTTTGGTATGCGTATATGCGACGTGGCGTTATTAAGCCGCGCCCGTTCATGTATATAAGAGCATCTAAAATGAGTGCAATACATTTAGAAAAACGATGGTGCACATTTCCAATTTGGTTGGTATTTGATTATTGCGTTCGTTCTAAAGGTTAATAAATCGTCAAAAATCGTCACTTGTTCATCTTGTGGATGTATATAGATTTCGTTTGTTAGTGCATTAATGGGTAAATCTTCACGATGCAAGTATGAATTTGCATTTTGGTATGATATTTATGTTAAGCCCAAAGATGTTCATCAATGTAATCAACAAGTAAATCGAAAGTACCTTCGTGGTAGTCTAAAATTTAGACAGAGCAAATCTCTACATTCGTAACTGACTTATATGCAGTTGGCGTTTTCTAACACGTCTCTATCTTTGAGCTTAATATTAGTAGCGTTTAAAGTCTATTCTCCTAATTACAATTTTGTTCAGTATTCAGTAAAACTAGTTCTCCAAAAATTTCAAGATTTTCTAGCGAAAATTATTGGAATACCTGTTTATATTTATATGTAGTACGTCCTAACGCTTTGTCTACTTTTGAAGTTTCGAAAATTGAATTGGTTTCAACAGGAACTGATGTATTTTGTAAATTACCTACTAGAACGAGTCGTTCCATGTTAACGGCGTAAATCGGAATGAATGTATGGCATTTTTGAATTCGTTATCTTATCACTACGAGCCTAACTTCGCAATAATTGTCTTGACTTTGCCCGACAGTCGAGCGTCCTTGGTGATTTTGTTCAAAATGTCCGCATTTAAACTACCTTTTAAGTCGGGAAAGACTTGTTTATTTTCTACCAGTTGTGTCATCAGAGATATAAGATTCTCCGCCGTTTCGTTATCCATCTTCTCGTGATAGTTCTCAATGACGAATTTGATGTTCTTGCCGATTTCGGCGTCGACTAGTTGCTGTGCTAATGATTTATCCTGCGGATCTTTCGGCTCTTTCGCCAGGCAGCTGATACACAAGAGATTCAAGGCGAGCATCGCCTCGTTCTGCATCACGGCGTGCATCGAAGTCATCATCTCGACTAGGCAGAGCACGCTTTTCGGGACAGATAAAACTACATCATAAGAATCCGAAGTTTTGCAGTTCTTGATCATCCAGGCGAGCAGTCGCGGCGCTTCACCACGAACACCTAAATGATCGGAATTGTAGCACCAATGCACGAGTTTCTCGATGAATTGCTTCCGTTGAATGAGATCCAAGGCAGTCTTTTCTTGTCCATCAACGACCATTCGAAGTGTCCCCAGTAATTTAAACTCAACCGGTGATTGGTCGATGTTTAACATCGAGAGCAGGGTTTCAACCAGGTTTTCTTGTAGTAATTTTGCTTTATTCTCGGGCGGTATGCTCAAATTTCGCAAGGTGCTTAACAGAGCGTGTTGGACTTTCGTATCTCCATCCACAGAATAATATTTTAAAATACCTAAAGAATAGAAACAAAAATATTAAATGTTGTAAGAAATCTTATTATTAAGTTGATTAAATTACCTAATAATTTTTTAGCTAAACCATTTTCGACTAGTTGTATGCAATGTTGATCTTTCCTTGCAAAGTTGCCTATTGCCAACACGCCGGTGCTGAGTAAATCAACATCTTCCGAATTCAACCAGAACACCATCTGTTGGTAGACTTTTCCCTTGCCTTCGCCGTATAACATTTCCATGGAATCATCCCCAGTTAAGATTAATACTATAAGGTCACAAGCCATTTTTAATACTGATCGACTTTCTTCGTCATTCACGTGACTCCCGTGTTTCTCCACCAATTCATATACTAGTTCACAAATACCCTTTTTGGCCAAGCATAATTTTATCTCATCTGAATCAATGAAAATATTTATAAAAACATAATCAGAAGTGAGAATTAAGCAAAACTTACCATTTTCACACTGCATTCTTAAAATTTCCAAACATAAAGTAGAAACATCCGCATTCATGGATATCTTCAACACATCCACCAATAACATACACAAATTCTGAGTCAACCATTGATCATTCATGTGCTCAGTAACCAAATTCAAAATAGTCAATGCATGAGTACTGCAATCCTCATTCGCCTCAAAATCAATCAAATTGTGCTTCAATATCATCTCCATAATTTCCAGCACACCATAATCCAGTGAAGCCTTTTGTAAATCCTCATTATTCATAATAATATTCATCAAGCATCCACAAGAGATGGCAATCAGCTTAATATCAAACGACTTCACGTCCAGCGTGGTCTTCATCAGTGTGATTAGCGCCTTGAGGCCATCCTTGTCCACAATTACTCTTGCCTTATCATTTTCAAAACACAAGTTGCCTAGTGCTCTACATGTCTGCAGTGTGATGTTTTTGTCACTCTGGCTGAGGAACGGAATTAATTGTTTGATTATGTTGCCGTTCGTAAAGCAGTTGCGGTTGTCTTCTTGTTTCGAGAGCTCCGCGATAGTCTGCGTCGTCAGGATAAGAATGTCATTGCATTTGATTGTTAGCAAAGTTTCGAATGTGGAGACGTCCGCCACGGTCACATCCTTCGGCTGCGACAGAATGGCGTTGAGGTGTTCGGTGATTCGTTTGAACTCTTGTGCGGCGACACTTTCTTTTAGCTTTTCTAGTAAATGTGCCATTTTTATTTAGAGCAGATTGTAACATCGAAGAAAGGTGTTTTCCCAGGTCGGTGGCATAACCTCAACTTGTTGAAAGTGGAACTGTCAGTGCGGACCAGTACGAACCGCCCCAGGATGGATTCTGCCGCTTCTGGAAAGATTGGTTGGTAAGGTTGGTAACGTAAGATGGAAATCGATAAAATCATCAAAAAATTTATGTCACATTCGGGGTTCTATTTTATGCGGTGATGTATGATGTTTTCTTTCATTCCATACAAATAAAAACATGGAAATTTGTTAAAAATTGGGAATTATTATACTTTTAAAGTATGATTCGCCGTTTTTTCTATGATAATAAGTAAAATACGACCTATATTTTATCATTTCCATTCGTAGTTACCTTTTTATGCACGTTAATAGTAGAAAACTACCTTAAAAATGATTTATTTTGCTTCTTATATTAAAATTTAAAGTTAATTAAGGTTATGTTTGGTTAAGTTGCACGAAAATAACTTTATCATGAAAGTTAGTAAAGAATAACTTTATTGAAATAAATTCATCTTTACAATATCACAAGTACTTTAAGTTTTTGACATGTCTTTATGCTAACGTTACAGTTTTCTCATCTTTCTCATCAGTAGTAGAATTAATAAAAGAAAAATTACTCTTAAAATACCATATTTGTGTCCGTCTGGTACTCTCACAGCAAAAATGGCCGATACATTTGTATAGCTCGGTGTCACTTCATTTGGATCGTCCTTCGTCGCGCTGCCATCGTCCGCATCCACGTCGAATCAGTTTAACAAAATATGAATCTAACGTAAAAAAAGATATGTAACAGAAAGCTTTGTACTTGATTTTTATGTTTAGTTCGCGCGTTGTGTCTTGTGTTTCATGTGTGTGTGTGTGTATCGCGTGTTTGAGAATTAAAATTAATCATCGCTCAATTGCTTGATAAAAAATTAAGTAAAAATAAATACGTGATCCCAACAATTTCTTGATTTAAAAAAATAATAAGAAGAACGGCGGAAAAGATCGCTTTCGTCTCGCTTTTTGTTATAGTTTTATTCGGAACGCAATGCTACGCCTATGTGACGCTGTCTGGCGGCGCTGCGGCATTCACAATCTCATTGAACGACTGATCCAACCAGTGCTTCAACTCTTCGTAGCTCACTACCAGAATGCTTTGCTCATCTCTCGACGTCAAACATATCTTGAGAAAACAATGTTAACACACCACAATAAGAAATTTTAATGCAATAAATATAAATCTCGCACTCACCTTTTCAGGAACGCCCGCATCTAGTTTATTTAAGCATTGAATGACGTGTGCCAAGTCCACCCACGGCCGGCCGTCCTCCATCACTTGGTGGAATACGTAATCACGGAATAGTTTGAGTAAATATCTATCACCGGTCTCGGACCAGGTTTGATCCAAATTAAACCTAAATCATCAAAATCATTAAAAACATTTTTTAAATTTTAACAAAAACAAAAATCTTACTCTGGCCTTTCGTTAATTGTCCCCAGTTTCACCAACAATCTAAACAATCGCCCATTCTCCAGCTCCTTCGCCACCTCGTTCTCTAGAATATCAGTGAGCGACTGACTATTGTCTAATTGCATGTAGAATCGCGCGCCAATCATCGGCATGAGGTCAACTAAACTTCGGCGCCTGTTCGACAAGAGATACAAAATCAAGTTCCTTAAATCTGGAGTATAGTTGCGAGTTACAATTTCGACCGCAGTCGAGATGTTATTGGGTTGAACGGCCATCGTGGATCTACAAGCGAGCGCCAGGACGAGTTTACCCAACGCGGCGAGATCTTCCTGCTGATATGAATCAGTGTGGTTGGAGGTGTCCGTCATGGTCACATCCAACACACCCAAGCAACTGAGACGCAATCGTTGACCGGACGTTATGATGATTTTGGTTGGATCCAGGCTTCTACAAGCCAAACCTACAACAAAACAATCAATTAAAACATGTTGCATCATTTTCAATGTGTATTATTACCTGAAGAATGTATTATCCTTAACGCAGAAGTAAGTTGAATGATGTAGTTCCAGATTTCCTGTTCGGGTAGTTTATTGGATTGAGTATGACGGAGAATGTTGTTTTTCTGATGTGAGTAGGGACGCGGCGTTGAGGGATCCGTGGCGAACGGGTCCTGATAACCATTTAGCTGATCGTTTTGGAAATGTTTACTCAAGAGGGTTTCCGAACCGGGATGATAATCATACACGAACACCATAGCTGGAAAAATAATACAAACATAAATTGGCATGAAAGTTGATAAAACAAGTTTAATATTACAATTATCGCCAAAGTCCTTCGTTGTGAACACCTCCTTTAACTGGACAATATTGGAATGCACGAGTTTTTTCCACGTATCTACATAGGACATACACTTGGTGTTTTGCAATCGGAAACCTGTAAATAAACAAGATTATTTAGTTTTGTGAAAAAGTATAATTGACTATGTTTAGTTGCCTACCATGAATTCTCCTAAGACAATAGCGAACGCCGGTCTTGATATGGGTCGCCTTGTACATGGTAGCAGGATAGCCCATTGGTGCCTTCTGCATGGGCTCCAGTGGATAGAGATCGTGATAGTTATCCACTTCGTGCGGCAGATCTTTGCAATAAAAACAAAACAAAACAAAAATCACACACTGATTATTAGTTTTTAAGAGGGTCATGGCTTATTTACCTGGAAAATGCTCGGGATCTGCCTGCAGGAGTGTTAAAGCATTGCGCTCCAGTATGTCCATTCGTATGTTTTCGGAGACGAAAAACGACGAGTTGACGCCGCGTGACTTCAGCGTACTCACATGACTAGGAGATCCGGGATACACCTGGAAGCTTGCCGCGATGCTGCTGTTCATCGACGTCAGTGTATCGTTAGTGTTTTGCGAGTTTTCGCCGGACGTCGGGTAGAAATACGTTGTACCATTTACATTTTCCTAAGAAAAATCAAAGAAAATTAATATAAAATCATATTTATCTAAGGAAGTTTGTATACCTGATAGGCCACAGCAACCGAAGGTTTCTCTAAAGCTACATTTGGAATTGGAGAACAATTTGTCAGGTTATTAGGCGGTGGCGACGGTTGCGGTGTAAGATGCGGTGAGCCATTGCCACTGTGTGGAGAATCCACCAACCTTGAGAACGTGTTCGGCTGGTTCGAGTATGTATTAAATAAATTGGGCGAAGCTAAAAACAAAGGAAAAACAACATTATACATTTCAATGTTTTGCACTCCTTACAGCTTAAAATTGGTCTTAAAAGATTATAATTTCATGTGATATTTGAGTGTTAATTACAATTTTAAGTAAGAAAATGATGAAAAAAGCAAAAAAATCATACCTGAATTACTGGAGGTGACAGCACGAGATCCGGGAACAAACTCAGGTGATTGCGGTGTTACTTTCTTGGAAGAAACGGGTGAATCGATACTAATTTTAGCAAATGACTGAGATAAGTTATTGGTACCCACAGGTGTGCTTGTACTTTGTCGATTCTACAGAGAACAACGAAAACATTCTATAGCCTACATATTCTTGAAATAACAATAACAGAAAGTGGGTGGCATTGAGAGTGAGAAACATACCATGTAAGTGGCCAGCTTGGACTCCTGTGGTACTCCGTTTGGGGTAGCAAATGGCATGTACAAAGAGTGGTCCATTCCCACCGTCGCGAGCTAGGGCCCCGCGCGCTAGGTATCAATGCTGCGACTTGCGTTTAACTATCTCGCATGCACATAACATTGTTTGTTGCAAAGTGGTCGCCGAGGGGTTTCTAGAACATCATCACCACTGAATGAGGTTAGAGACTTGTACTTACATATTGCGAGTAATCGCGAGCGGATTTTTGAAGCGATTCGAGCGGAACGGAGCGGAGGACGTGCGGGAAAAAGTACTATACGGCGTGTGAAGCTGCGTGCGTGCGGTCGGAGGAAAACAATGGGCCAGCTTGGGACCTTGGGAAAGAGAGGAGCTTGGTCGCTGGCGACGCGAACGTCTTCGGGCGGCCAGCGGGTGCTGTGATTGAGTTGCGAGATATCTAACACACCGTTTTGCGTTCAAAATACATTCGCTCGTCGTCCACGGCGGCGAGAAAAACGAGGGAAATGATGAGAAAAGTCGACACAAATGACATCTACGTACTCTCAAAACAAAAGCTTCATCGCGCATTCACCCACTGCTTTGCGAACCGTTGGTTTGGAGGAGCCACTTGGTGCGGCGAGTGCGAGACCCGAGACGCGACCGAGACGCACCACACACCAGCGGGACGAGCGCGAGGCGGACGAAGAACGCGAAACGAGCGAAAACACGAATTGAGGTCGCTGGCGTCATCGCCGAGCGGGCCGAGCGCGCAACTACACGAGCCGCCACGCTCGAAAATCAAAACCGCTCGCTTTTTACTTATCAAAATATTAATTAAAAGCGCGCAACTGTTTATGCACTCGAGTTGTGAAACTACTTCTAGTCGGCATTATTTCGTTCAACAACGCGTGGTTATTAATAGAAAGGCACGCTTATCAAAACTCAACAAAACCGTGTTTAAAAATTATCTATGCAAACATTCAAATATAAATGTGGTGCGTTATGGTTATTATTATTGCTTCACTTAATTATTAACTAAATATCATTATTAATTTATTCTGTTTTAGAGCTGGAATTTTGCCCTGCAGCTGCAATAAATCAAACAATATTTGAAAAAGTTAAACGTCAAGCAATTTTAAGGAAAACAGGTGACAATTTTACAATTTCTACACAAAAACATGACAGTTATCACAAAATATAGCTAATATTCCTTTAAAATCTTTATTATTCACAACTCGGGCATACAACAAGAATGATTCACACATTTTGAACGATAAATTGGCATAGTTTTCTTTAGTTTTCATTTGTTTTTCTTTTTTTATTGCCGCTGTTTTTGCCATTCACCCTGAGCCGTTTCACTGCCTTTTTTGGAGGAAGAATACTTCCGGTAGGTTCAATTTTCTCGTTGACAGTCGAATAATTTTCAGCTGGTTCAATTGTCTTCTGCATCTTTATCCATTCAACAGCACCTCTCAAAGCCATTTCTAACGAAAAGAAATCTGCTTTACCTTTGCCAAAGGTTCTTATAAAATCTAAATATGCTGCAGCAGGAGGATTAAGTTCTGTTGATCTGGCATAATTAACAGACTCATTGGAGGATTTTTCAGGTAGAGATTTTTGGCCACACATGATTTGTGCAGTTTGAATCAGTGTATAAAAAGAATTTATAAAGGAAACGAGGACTAAGTTTTGTTATAACGAGCTTTTTTGGTTTTTAATCAAATTTTGACAAATTAAACAAAAATTTAAGGTGTGTTGTCATTGAAAAACAAAAGGATTACTTGGATTATTGAATAAAAACATATTCTGCTAGAAAATCATCTAAAATAAGGTAAAAGTATTTTAAGAATTATTTATTACATAGAAATAGTACTCAAAAATACAAAATGGACGGATTTTTCAAGAGTTATAAACATTACAAAGTCATACTTTTAAAATAATACTTTCTGCGTGGATATTCATGTAAATTGCTTTCGAGATTCTAGTATAAACTAACACTACTTGTACATAATCCATAAAATGCTATAAAATATGATGTTTAAGGCATTGCTTCAGCATAAGACACTTTTTGTTCATAGGCTTTATCCTCCCAATCATTATCATCTGGCAGAGCAGTATGCCTCAACTTGCATAAACGATGCCCAAATCTGAGCATCACAATGATAACGCCAACGATGAGAAACATCGTTACGCAAGCTGTGACCGGCCAATATATGTGCAACATTTTGCTTTTCTTTTATTAATATGATTATATCTAGATGTCACTCTCTCTACTCTTCTGATGCAATTCTAAATATTCAATAGGTTGTTGTCTTGAGCCTCTTGGTTCGTACTGGTACTGCTCGTGTGTGGAGGGTAGCTCAACCTCAAGATCACTATATTGAGTCACGTCCCTAGGCAACTCCGTTACCACCTTGCTCGGGATGAACTTGGGATCAAGTTCAGAGTAATCCAAAGATGGCTGAAGATGTGGTGTTGCTGTCCAAAGCGAAACTATCCACCTGTTACCAGTATGGCGGTCGTTCCAGTAAGTGGAGTATTTTGAACAACACCCAACAATATTAATGATGATTATAATTGCTGCGATGATTGTGCAGACGGTGACAGTGATGTAAAACGGGCTGAAATCACCGTATTCGTGCTTTTTGAAGTAAGGGCTCTGCAGGTATGCTCGTCGTTCGTTGATATCAAGCACAGACATGGCAATGGGCAGATGGCATTGAGTTTACATCAATGCTGCCTAAAAATATTAAGAAAAACATTAATTCTTTTGTAAAATATATAAATTAACTTAATTTTACAATAATTTTAGCTAAGAATGAATGGAATGTATTCTCTCGTATGAACTCATGTGAAGTTCTACACAACACTGAAGTCTATAGTTGACTAAGTGGGTGTGGTGTCTTGCACATAACACAGCACAAATTCAACTAACTTTAATGAAGATTAATCAAACATGACTCATGAACTGCTATCAAGACGTCGCTGTCCTACACTATTAAGATGTACCGAGTAATAAAAACATCAAAAAAAAGCTACGTACCTTTTTGCGAAGTGTTGCGATGCTTTTAGCACGAACTACAGCGCCGTGCGGCTTGGAACGCTTGCAAGAAAGCTTGTTTACGGCACCACTTCCACCTGTAATGTGTGAGCGAGGCGGTTACGATGACGTAGCTCTGCGCAGTTATAAACTAGTTAAACAAAGAACACTCTAGCTGTTGGGTGTTTCTTTCTACTTCGTTTACCTGCTCGAACTCGTCGAAACTACGCGCACGTTGACTGCGTCCGATATAATACAGGTGTGCCTCGTAGGTGCAAAGTGGGTTGCATTATTCAGTATGCGTAGAGAGCATTTTCGAGCCATTTCGAGCATTTATTTCCTGCCATGGCGGTGGCGGTGGCGGCGGTTCTCAGCATTCAGCGTGCGTGTGATGGTAGGCAGAGAAGTTTCGGGTCCATTACCTCGGAAAATTAACCCCGAGCACCCTGTAGCGTGCCGTGCGTCGTTAATAACTCGTTAGCGCTTAAATCTTCTGGACATAATTACGCGTCGCAGTCGGTGCAGTCTGGCGCAGGCTGCGTTACGCTAATTCAGTTTCTATTTACTGCACGAAATTGAAATTATTGATGCATTTGCATTATTATTTACCGATTATTCATAAATTATTATTTTATACTAAGTCTTCAAACTTGCAAAAGTAAGAAATTCATTTATTATGACTTATTTTGTAGTTGTGACAGTGTTATTACGGTTGTAAGTGAAAGTTTTCAATATTTTTATTCATAAATCTGTATTAAGTTGAGATGTGTTCACAAATTACAATTTAGATAACTAAACGCAAGCCGTTTCAGCTTCCCCTTCGCAATCGCTTCACAAATCTCATAAAAATCTCGTTAGGAACCAACTATTCAACGCCTCGGCAACCCCTAAAATAATTTAGTTATTACGCTGCAGCCCCAACCTTCCTGCCTCACTTCGCGTACTAGATATCTTCCATAACGTGGATTCTCCACCAAACTCTCTGCGCAAACTCAGCTGGCGATGATTTATACACGGGCACTATTATTTTAATGTCGCTTTATTATCGTCATTGTGCGAATTCAGTTCGCTTCTGACCGTGGTAATAATTGTAATTTGGTTTGCATACATTCAAAGGTAACCTGTGGTTCTGTCTGCTGGGTAGCATGTGAGTCTGATGCGGTGACATCAACTTTGCAAAACTAGCAACAACAGGAAGAACAGGGACACTGAACAAGATAGAGATGATTGTAACTTGAGCTACACCCTGTTACACACGAACATGCAGAGTATAGAAGGGTAAAGAGCGTGAGGGAGGACGAGCTGAAACAATAATAAATAAATCTGCATTGTGGTGACGTGTCGGGAGGCGCACCGCAGCGAAGAGAATCGAGCAGTAGGCAAAGGGGTGAATTCAGGATATATACAGAGTGTTACATTAATATTATACTATTTTATAGGTATAAACGAAGAGGTAGACTAAACGTTGGTAGAAACCTGAAGTGGATTCATGCAAAATGTTGAAAGATAAGAGCATGTTGTGCAGCGTGGTGTGGGAGGCGCTTCTTCCCTTGTTTCCCTTGTAATTAAAACCGGCTTGAATGTGCAACAATGTGAATGCATTGTGCTCAAAGTCGACGGAGGTGTTCACCTAACACTCAATGGTAAATTCAACGAATACTGCTGATCATCTTTTATTCACTTCTTTTATATCCGCAGCAATTTAAAAATTGACTAAACACATATAAATATCTATTTCATTTTGGGTAATTTTGTGTTTATTGTAATTTTATCCGCAATTGTTTTGAATACACCCGGTTCGGTTCATGTGGGAGTTTAAAGTTTATGAATTTTACTCCGCCGAAATTACTCGTATGAAGAATTTTTAATAAATTTGGGTCGTATAGTTGCGGGATATTGAATCGTTGATGTTCGAGTTGTTGTAGTACGGTTTGTGTGAAAATGAAGTACATTTTTCATTGTTCTCCGGAATTACACCGCAGCGCGGATGTTTGTTTTCGGCAAATATTTTCACATTTGCATAATAATGATGTTATTCTTGGGTAAGCCGCAAATAGTACACCGACCACCTTTGCCACCAAATTAATTTTCATATTTAAATGCAGTGCAGGTGGAATTTTATTCAACATGCAAACAATTTATAGATTACCTGCCAAATGGCAACGTAATCAACATTTTTTCGATATCAAGTTTTGCACAAAACCTTCGACTTTGTCATAGTTCTTATCTTGTTTTGGGTATCACTTTGAAACTGCGTTAATTTGAAGTTATCAACAGTATTTTTTATTCTAAATTCAATTTTTGCGAAAATATTCTCAAAAAAGAGTAAAAAACAGGTAAAAAGCATTTAATTTATTCCAATTAACCCTGTAAAATGTCAACTGGGTAAGATCTAAGTTTACAACTACTAAAAACAGATTTTTGTATTCTCATCGCAAATAATTGCATCTCGATTTCCACATACAACAAAATACTCGTACTTGCATAACATGTCAAGCATCTAAATGCACCAGCGCGTCAATTGCGATTTTCAAGATTCCGACCTCTGCGCGTCGAAGCGATCTTAAAAGTTAAGCACATGGTGATGAAAGACGATACCAAAGCGCGCTAGGTAGTCGATATCGTGGGGAATTTCGCTCATCTCGCCGACACTGCCGCCAGCGACATGCCGGCAGGCTGTTAGCGCTGCGCTCGCAGCCGGGGCGAAGGATATGTGTATATTATTATAGCCGCTGCCGCCGGTTGCCGCCGCCGCCGAGCTGTTAGCGCGGGGCGAATTCTCGTGTGCACATAACGTATAAGGATATCAACGTAATATACGTGCGCCGCTTCCCGTGCTTGCACGTCGCCAGCGTGCGAGTGTTGGATTACGCTTCTGCTTTGGCCTTAAGCAGACATAAAGGATCGTGACGTTTAATCGATGTTTAGCGAAAAACGCGCGCTACCTTTGTGTGCATTATCAAACATCACAAACGAAATAAAATGTGTTAATTTGTTCCCGCACAAGTTTAATAATTTTTTTTGCAAAATTTGCGAATTTAAATTTTTTATTTATTTGCATGAGTTTAGGCTTCATTCAATTCCATTCACGTTTAGTCGTTCCTTTGAGTACACTTCATGTCTTGAAACTCCATTCAATAAGCAAAGAGCACTGTTAACGCCTTTATTCTACCCGCGTTAATAGTGCGTACATTCCATACGTTCTCCTCAAAGCGTCGCAATGGCTGCCAAGTCTCGAAAGCTGCAAGCTGCATGCGATTGCGCTTCAGTTGCCAGAGTATGTGCACTTTTGCATCTTCTCATTTACGCTGCGTCACATAACATACGTTTATAAACCCGGATAGAAACATTTTTATTTTAAAAGTGCTTGAATTCCTAAGTTTACGAATTCCTGTTCAGACCGTACATTCTACACTCTTATAATGAGCATATGTGGTTTTTTGTGCCACGGACATATTTTGCAATTCATGAATTTCGCGTTTGCGTGGCCGGCCCCGGCGGAACACCAAATGTTCCAAGTGAGGGTGGACACGACGCTAGTGTCCAGTTGGCGGCGTGGATGAACAGCGTCAGCTAGAGCGTGGTGAAAAAAGGGCCGCACATTTGCACGCTGATTATTCCGCTGGCGTAGACACGCGAACTCGTCGCCATTATTACTAAACTAATTTTCGTGTGCATTTCCGCTGGTAATTGTCAACACTCGCACCGGACAAATACAAACGCATTTGCTGTGTTGTGCTAATGTGAATATAATGGAATAATACATTCAAAAACGACTCAAAACTCAAATTTTACAAATTTTTGCTTCATATGTCTTCCAATAAACAAAAATTATCATTTAAAAATATAATTAAACTAAAGGAAAACGATTTAGAGGTAAAAATGTTATGAGTTGAATGTAAAACTGGTTGCATAGCATGGCTATGCATCAATACACTCAACACACTTTGAACGGAGTGTAGCATACTCGTAAAACTTGGTTATATGTTGTCACTTTTGATACTTTGGATGTTTTTCTTGGCAGCTAACACTCTAAATTGATGTGAACCGTTACGCTGGTAGCCTGAGCCTGAGCCAATTCGAGTGTGAAACTTAATTAACCCAAATATCGGCCCGTGCGTTGAACATAACATAAACTCATTCATTATTACCCATGGAACGCTCACGCCCTGAACGACCTAGTGCCGGTCGAATCTACCCTCCACCAGGGTGCAATCGCACGCGTTCAGCGTCAACAAATCAACAGTCATCAACCGGACTCATCCAGTGTGTGTGTTAATATACGAGCGAGCATTATTTCACGCCGATCGCATTAATCCAGTTGAGGGGGTTTGCAAATTTTTGTTTCTGTCATGTCTTTCATTCGAAGTATTAAAGGCATTAAGGATTACCAAACAGTACAATCAGTTGTATTATCTTCTATTGTTGTAACAGAATGATCAATACTCATTACTTCTTATCCTACTTCAAGAGGATAATAATATTTTTGCACAAAATATTTTGTTTCAATGGTTTCTATAAAGGAATTTATATACAAAACAAAGTCGTGTTAATTAGATCATTTATAACTCAAGAACGCCTTGATCGATTTTGACGATCTATGATTTGTTGGATACTTTGTCCCAAACAGCAGAATAGTAAAGTAAATAGTAAATTAGTCAATTATTGAAAGTTATGACCTAAGAGGTGTTAAATAAGAGATGAAAGTTGGTATAGAAATTAAATTATAGTAATACTTAAATAATTAAACAGTAGGTGGCGCTCAAGTGCGGTATTAGCTTATTTATTTAAAATAAAATTACGAATCTTATTGATCGAATCGACACATACTAAGTCCAAGAAACAAAAAATAAAAATTTAATTATTAAATTAAATTTATAGTTTCATCTATCACGTTCCAAAACAATTACGCAAATGATTATTGTTATTGTGGCATTTGCGTTTATGTATTTCGAATTTATTCTGATTACAATTGCCATAGTTACGCAACACGCGTGACACTAATGGTAAACCGCGACACAGTTATCAGATTAACGTCATTCACAATTAAGTTAATAGAAACATAAGTGCGAGTGCGCACATTTCGTGTCACCATTCTTATCAGCGCGCGTATTAACGAAAGCTCTAGGGGAGTTTACTCCCATTACGCGCAGTGAGCTTACTTAATATCCGCAAGATAAAACAAATTTTAAACAACAAAAAAACCATCAACTCTACAATGTACCAGTAAAAATA